TTCCCTGCCAGCCTGGCAGAAGCTTGGGGAGGGCCTTTCACACGAGCACGCCAGCCAGAAGGCATTCGCGGGAACGAAACGCCTGCCGGACCCTTCCAGGCTGGGCTCTGGCCCTCCTCAGTCACTGCCCCAGAGAGCAGCCCCACGCTGCTGGAGGTGACCGCGTTCCGCCCCAGGCAATCGTTGGGCCCCTGGGGCGAAGAAGCGCGAGGGAGCCCAGCCAGGAGTCCCCAGAGCACACGCAAGGCAGCGCGCCAGCTCCACTTCCCACCGAGGGAGAGTCCCGCCGTGCGCCTGGGGTCACGCCAGGGCCGTGGCTCGGCCGGTCGGTGCCAACGGCGCGGCGCGCAGAAGCTATTAACCGGGCTCACCGGCCTCGCACGCTGCACAGCTGTAACCGCGTCCACCTCAACTGACTCTTTGGTAAATGATTTTCCTTTGTTGGAAGGATGCTGATGCAGCCCCTGATTCTCACGCGTAGTTAAAATGCAATTTTTTGTACCGTTTCCCTGCTCGAGTTGGTAATTGACTCCTAATGGACTCTGTCATGGCTGAAAGACGGCCGGGGGGGGCGCAGGGACAGACCCCGCCCGCCAGGCCTCGGGCGACGCAGAGCAAACCGGCTGGGACGCCACTTCCCATCAGCCCCGTCTGCGCCCAGCACTCTGGCAGTGGGCCCGCCGAGGCAAGCTGCCCCACAGTGCCCTGGCTTTGGGGGCCCCTTCCTCATTGCCCACAGGCCCCCTTTGGGAGCCAGAAAGGGCACGAGAGAGCTGGGCCCTCCTCCTGCCGCCACCCGAAGGAGAACAGCGCGGGCTGCGGCGCCGCGCACCCACTGCTCAGACTTGGCGGGCTGGCACCAGCAGTGGAGTGAGATTTTCTAATGCAAATAGCCCCTAGCACTTCACACACATGGAGTGACTCGGTGCCAGGGCCCCCGGGAGGAGAGGAAGTAGAGTCATTCCCATCCTATCTGGGGAAACTGAGGCACGGGGGGAAGGCAATGGCCCAAAACTGCTGAGCTGAATTGAAACCCGCCAATCCTGGGCTCCTTAGTTTCTGAACCCCTTTGCTACCAAAAACGGGCCTGACTTAGGGTTAAACAACCTCCCCCAGCCCGCAGGAGCCGAGTGCCTGGCCCCGGCCGGAAAACTTAGGGGCCCCATGTTCCCCAGGGCAGCAAGGACAAGAAATGTTTACAGGCTTCTCTCTCTCCTTCTTCTGCGGCAGCTTCTTCTTGGGAGCCTTGCGCTCCGCCCGCCTCTGCTCCGTGGTGGTGTCGGCAGCCGTGATGAGCTTCTGCAGGTCCTGGGTTCTCTTCTCTCGCTCCTTCTTCCTGGCCTCGATTTTCCGCAGCTCCTGGATCAGATACTCCTCTTCTGCCACCTGCCGGCCGGCGCGGGGAGAGGCAGTCAGAGCCGCAAAGCGAGGCCAGGGAGCAGCTCCGCTCCCACGCCAGCCCTGCCCCCGGGCGCTGGCTTCCCCGCCCTCCCCTGCACAGGCAGCTCCAGCCCAGCCCTCAGGGGCGCTAGGTCCCCGGGTCAGTCGCTCTCCTGGCAACCCCGCGCCTTGCTCTCCCCCGGAGGAAGAGGGCAGAGTGACCCGTTCTATGGGGGGGAA